CAGATGAATAAAAGGGGAATTGATTCCCATTCTGTCCTCCCATCCACATCCCCTCATCAACCGGCAACCGTTTTCCAAGTTTCCTATTAATACTTTGATATCGACGGATGCAATTACGGGAAATATCCTTTAATCTATCGACGATTAATTCTTAATAGTTATTCAACTTAACAATAACAAGATTTTAACTGTGTACACTCGATAAAATTATCAATTAATTCAATTGTAACTTCTTTTTCACAGTTTTCGTTTTAATCAATCTCAGATATTGAAAATCTAGAGCCTTCACGTTTTTAGGCTTATTGATAGACTAGTAACTATTACCATTTTCCTGTAATTCACAGTCAAAATAGAAAACTTGAACTTTGCACATGTACTCATTATATGCAACAGTATTGTTTATTTCGGTATTTGAATGTTTACATGTCTTGCTGTGCGATCTGCGGTTTTACGACCAATTATGTGTATCTGCTAAAGCGCGCTAATTACGTATATGAAACGAAGTTGTCCTAATTAGAAAAAGGCTATTGGAATGAAATTTGAGCAATTTTTGTCGAATCCTGTCCCGTTCACAACTTCATCTTTGCAGCGTTTCTTGTTTGCTAATTTTTACGAAATGATCGCGGAGATTTAAGTCTAGTGCCTTCGCAATTTTAGGCTTATTGATAGACTAGTAACTATTACCATTTTCCTGTAATTCACAGTCAAAATTGAACTTTGCACATGCACTTTGAACATGCATCATTATATGCAACAGAATTCTTTATTTCGGTATTTAAATGTTTACATGTCTTGTTGTGCGATCTGCAATTGCGAAAAAGGTTTTACGACCAATTATGTGTATCTGATAAAGCGCGCTAATTACGTGTATCAATCGCAGTTGGCCTAATTAGAAAAAGGCAATTGGAATGGAAGAGGGACCTTTGAGCTATTTTTGCCGAATCCTGTCCCGTTCACAACTTCATCTTTGTAGCGTTTCATGATTGCTAATTTTTACGAAATAATCGCGGAGATTCAAGTCTAGTGCCTTCGCAATTTTTAGGCTTATTGATAGACTAGTAACTATTACCATTTTCCTGTAATTCGTAGTCAAAATTGAACTTTGCACAAGCATCATTATATGCAACAGTATTCTTTATTTCGGTATTTAAATGTTTACATGTCTTGTTGTGCGATCTGCAATTGCGAAAAAGGTTTTACGATCAATTATGTGTATCTGATAAAGCGCGCTAATTACGTGTATCAATCGCAGTTGGCCTAATTAGAAAAAGGCAATTGGAATGGAAGAGGGATTTTTGAGCAACTTTTCCCGTTCACAACTTCATCTTTCTAGCGTTTCATGTTTGCTAATTTTTACGAAATGATCGCAAAGATTCAAGTCTAGTGCCTTCACATTTTTTAGGCTTATTGATGGACTAGTAACTATTACCATTTTCCTGTAATTCACAATCAAAATTGAACTTTGGACACGCACTTTGAACATGCATCATTATATGCAACAGTATTCTTTATTTTGGTATTTGAATGTTTACATGTCTTGTTGTGCGATCTGAAATTGCGAAAAAGGTTTTACGACCAATTATGTGTATCTGATAAAGCGCGCTAATTACGTGTATCAATCGCAGTTGGCCTAATTAGAAAAAGGCAATTGGAATGGAAGAGGGATTTTTGAGCAATTTTTGCCGTTCACAACTTCATCTTTGCAGCGTTTCATGTTTGCTAATTTTTACGAAATGAACGCAAAGATTCAAGTCTAGTGCCTTCACAATTTTAGGCTTATTGATAGACTAATAAATATTACCATTCTCCTGTAATTCGCAGTCAAAATTGAAAACCGTTTTTTATCTAAACAAATGTGTGTAAACTGCGTGGAAATTGTCGAATTTACATCGGTTTTTTTTGTTGTTGTTGTTGGTATGGTTTGTGTTTTGAGGAAATTGAATTTATCTATTTTCATGGACACGCGATGCATATGCATGCAATTGCGGAGACGGGCAAAAAGTAACTGACCACCTGTTGTGTGTGTGTGTGAGTTACAGAGGTTTTTCCGTGCATTTTCCGCATCCCCCAGAGCGTTTATTGCCCAAGCGCACAAAGAAAAAAAATTGAGAAAAAGGAAGAACCTTTGGAGTCTTTCCAACAACAACAACAAAAAAAGTATCCCTTTCTTTGCGGCGAAATTTAAGGATTATTAAGAGAGAATGCCGCTGCTGTTAAACATATTTATCGTTTCTTTCTCTTTGTCCTCTTATTTTTGGTCCATTTCTTCTCGGTTCTCTCTCTCTGTCGTCGTTTCTTTTTATTTTTATTATTTTCTTGCCAGAAAGGGAATGCTGATATGGCGTTTCCTCTCTTTTTGGCAGCGAACCGCATCGACGTCGGCGGGCAAAAATCAATCGGTTTCGGCTTGAAGGGTTGTAGTAGTAGTAGTAGGTGGTCACAATCCATCCATCCCTCGCCCCGTCCTCCACCTCTTGACAAGAAGAGCCACCCTCTTTCGCTCCGCTGCTCGCACAAATCTATTAGAAATCGTTAAATCCGACATTCAATTCCACACGTCTCTCAAAAAGCGATCACACACACGCTCAACCGTAGTGAAGAGAACCAACAAAAAAAAAAACATCAAGTTTTAAGCAATTCTCCATCAATCTTTCAGTCTCTTAGTTTATTGATTTATTTATTTATTTATTATGATAATATTCAATTGCAAAAACTATTTGTTTCTTTTAAATTTCTTCATGATTTGACCACTGTGTGTGTTTTTCGGTTTGGAAACATTAAACATGCATGAAATTCTCCCGACCAACAGAAACTCTTCGTTTCTTGATGTAAATTTTGCGCGCAAATTGTATTTTCTTGAATCATTTATGCGACGACAGTAAAAAGATCGCACCCTTCCCTTCTCCAAATTGCAGCGACAATTAAAACAAATTTTCAACTGTTCCACTTTTTGGGTGAAACGTTATGCCGCCTCCGCCACCGCCGCCGCGTCCGACTTGTACGCGGGTGGGACAGTAATTTAATTCCAACTTGGCCCTGACATTATTAATTTAACGTTGTTACGCGCGCTCAGACCTTCAACGAAGAGAGAGAGACGGGTAAGATCGTGAGTTCATTCTTTAACATCAAAAGAAGTGTCAAATCGTGAATGAAATTGCATTGAAAAGAAAAAATAAATATCAATTTAGTAAAGTCTATATAGTACAAATTGCTTTAATAATCATATGAATAATGAATGAAAGTTGAAATTGTTGTCGCTAATTGGCAGCATCAATGTAATTATGATAACGCTGCATCAATAATATGCGACAAACTCTTGTGATAATAATAATAATAATATTAATAACGTTCTGTCCCGTCCGGTGTATGCACAAACGGGGGAAACCGGGCACATCCACCATAATTCGATACGCCTATTACAGCCATATAATTATTATTCCGACATAACATTAGATGAATAATGTAATTATGTTTGCGCCCGCTTTTATGCAAATCATAACACGGGGCCGGTATTAATTACGACCGCGTGGCGTGCATCGATCCGCCAACAAATTCTTGCACTTTGAATCTCATGCATCATTGTATGCAACAGTATTGTTTATTTCCGAATTTCAATGTTTACATATCTTGCTGTGCGATCTGCAATTGCGAAAAGAGTTTTACGACCAATTATGTGTATCTGCTAAAGCGCGCTAATTACGTGTATGAAACGCAGTTGGTCTAATTAGAAAAAAGGCAATTGGAATGGAAGAGGGACAATTTTTGCTAATTTTTACGAAATGATTACAGAGATTCAAGTGAATCAAGTTGACGCCGAAAGAGGGAATACATTAAATTCCGAAAACTTTATTTATAAACACTGCGTCTACTTCATCCCTTAATTTTTCAGCTTTTCGCTGATTCAAGCTGAACCATTTCTTCAAAATACTATTGTTTTTTTTTAACTTACATTATGTCTCCTTATTCCTTACAAATTAACAATCTTAGAACTTAAAAATAGTCAATATTATTTCTTAATAAATAGATATTAAAAATTATCCAATAATTGACAAACATTTTTTTTTGAAAATATTATTTTTGTTAAAAAAAATATGAGAATATGAAAATCTAAGTTTTGTTGTAAATCTTTGCAAATTTAGGATTATAAAGTTTATTTTTAATCAATTTTATCAGCGTTTTAAAGTTGTATAGTGATAAAAGCTTGTAGCACCCGGCGCATCCACAATAAAACGCTAAAAAAAGGTTACGGTTGTAAATAGGGGAAATGCAGTTATTTCCGTCAAATTTATTGTTTTATTGTATCTCACACACTTTTATTATCTTGTTAAACTTGGGTGCAGTTTTGGAGATATTTTCTAAAATTCGAACTTTTTTGCAAAAAAAAAATGATTGAAAATAATTGAGAAAATCATAAAATACTATAGCGTTTTATTATTTAAAAGTAATAAACGAATAAGTGTTTGCGTTTCCAGTATAAAACCATAAAGAAAGTTGAGTTTTTAAAGAAAAAACTATTTGAAACAATATTATAATTATTGAATGATGAACATTTCATTTATATTTCTATTGCGTTTCAATGGGATTTATTGTCTTATTGTATCAATTATGTTGTGCTTGGAGGAAGGGTAATAGGGAATCTTGATAAATGGTCTTCGATATGATAGGGCGCAATTGATCACAATCGCGGCAAAGTTTTGGGGGCGGCGGCGGTTGTTGTGCGAGTTAATCCGCGAAGTAAATCAAAGCGGAGTTTGTATATTTAAGAGGCGTATAACTTGGAAGCACGTCTGCGATGCTGAATGGGGAGTAGCGGGTGGGTGGGTTTTTGGAAGGAGAGAGAGCCATAAATCCCAAAACTGGGGAATATAATCCGTGCTCAATTAGTTATCTCTATCGATCTGTCGAGTTGAGGTGGCGGATTTTGCTTGGTTGTACGGCAAAAGAAAAGAGTGATGCAATCTAATGATGTTTAATATGATATTTCATGTGATGTGTTTCAGGGAGCGTCCTCCAGCTTAGTGGTGAAGTTCGCAGACACTGAAAAGGAACGGCAACTGAGACGTATGCAGCAGATGGCCGGAAACATGAGTCTTCTCAACCCCTTCGTGTTCAACCAGTTCGGAGCTTATGGGGCTTACGCACAGGTAAATAAATTCGAATGGAAACATCATCCCTTTTGCTGCACCGTCTAGTTTCTCTACTATCTTTGATGTTTCATGCGTGCATTAAAAACTGCGTTGCGTCAAGTTCAACTTCATTATGAAACGACAACAACTTCTTTGTGTGCTCCTCTTATATGTTCGCTTATGTGTTTATGTGTTTGTGTTTCAGCAACAGGCAGCTATAATGGCTGCGACTGCCCAGGGCACCTACATTAATCCGATGGCGGCGCTCGCGACGCAGATTCCCCACGCCACCCTCAACGGCATGGCCAACTCGGTCGTACCTCCGACATCTGGTAATTACGACCAACTGCTTCTCTGCTTAATTAAAACATCGACACTAATCGCTCCTCTCCTCTCCTCCTATACCCACGCACGCAACCCGAATCTAATCCCAAATCCGTTAAATCCATTAAACGATCCGCCAGTTCGGAAACCCCACGACCATCATCAATACCTACATCTATAATTACAAAGCATTTACATTCTCGAAACGTGTTTGTCCATATTTTGATGATTGCTTGTAATTAGTTTATCAAGTAATTTACTAAATTGTGAGAGATATAAAAGGAATCTGTATATTAACACGTTAAGGACGGCGCTTTTCGTGGACGCCTATGGATTGAGTGAAAAGTCCAATATCTTACGTCAATTATAACCTTTAAACGTTTAAATTTTTCTTATACATTTTTTAATGATATTGAAGCAATTTATAACAATTGTGGGAAAAATATTGAAATTTTCATTCAATTCTATACTTGCTAGGAAAAAGTGCTATAGGTTTTATAATAAGCAATAATAATAATTGATTATTGCAATTTCTATTCAAGTCGAATATACCATGTGCATATTCAAGCTCTAAGCTTGTATTGTATTTGAATAAATCAGCAATGTTTTATATATCTGCTTATGATA